ATCATCAGGTGAAATGAATTGTGGGTTGTTTTATCTTTAGGTGAATGAAAAATGTGTTGTGTTATTGATATTTACAGGATGTTTATGGTATGTGAAGTGTGTTTGTATGAGTGTATATCTAATGAATTATTTGTACGTCTTCCACTTGGGATGTTCTTTGTCATTATTGTTAGTCCCTGGAGGGTGCACAACTAACTAGATGAGTCAGTACTAGGTTGTTATGGGAAGTTTATATGGTCTTGGTGACTGGTCAAATGAGCCTCAGTCCTAATAGGCCTTTACCTAACTGTTAGGATTGGGACCTGGTCATAATAGGCCCCATGCTAAGTGATTAAGTTTGGTTAAGAATTACTTGTACTGGTTGAGGAGGGGGAGGGGGGGGGTCATGATTGTTATGTACTGTACAGCTTATATGACTGTCTGTGAGCTGTACTCTATTCCCATTTTAGTTAAACAGGATCAACACAAATATTTCACATATTAAGCCTGTTAAAGAAATCCATAAGACATTAGTACAGTATACTTTAATTTAGACATTTACAGCAGAGATCACACACTATAATTATGAACTACAGTAACTTTCTGGGTCTGACATCTGGAACTCTGATTCACATGACATATCACAGTGAAATTTGGCTCCTTGATGGATCTTTGACAACTCTTCAGTGAGGAGGAATATGTGCTGTGTAATGCTACGCTACAAACCTTAACAAAAAATATGTTTCATTAATAGAAATGAAAGTTTATGTAAAGAAAACAACAAACTTGGTGTTGAACAATTTGTGGTTGACAAGTGAGACAAACTGTATCTCCCCAAAGTATGTAATAAAATACATGGTTAATTTTTTTATAGTAACGTTACCCCAGACAAGTTTTGTTTTTCATATAGGCTCTAGTAGTTTTGTAGTAAGTCAAATTTTAGGAGATTATTATCATATATACTGTACTGTTGTTTACACCTAAACACTGTATATAATATTTGAGTATTAAATGGTTCAATAACACCTTGAAGACATAGTAATAAGTTTGCTGCTACATTACCATGATTCATATTATCTCACCAGTGTTAAATGTAAATATTGTATCTGTATATATATGTATAGCATGTTAGACTTCATTCACAGTATTTTGGGATATATTTATTATGGAGCTATTTTCTCTGCTGAAAAATAATTTTGCTCATTCTTTTTTACCACCAACAAACTATATTTCTGTGACTGTATTTGCCATACAATACGTACTACATGGCAAAGAGTGTTGGACCTTATTGGTGAATTGTTTAAAGTGTATTGCCTTGTAGGTATCATATTTAACCCTTTCGCTGCAATTCCCACACTTACCATTTTATTTTGGCTGCCGCCAGACCATTTTATTCACCTTTGGGTAACCTCCCACAGCCAAAGGGTTAAGCTTCAAGTGTTTACAAGTACATTACTACAGTACTGTACAGGTATATTGGTCTATCCTCATGTGTGTGTGTTGGTCTGTTACCTTCTGCTGAAGTGGTTTAATAGTTCACCTTTTGATGGAGAGGAGTCTGGTACTGTACTTTGTTTCTTGCTTCTCACACATCTAGTCAAGCCTCATGGTTTTTTGGGGGATTTATTTAATTTTTTTTTTTTTTACATTGAAAGTTTTTGGTTTATAGAATAAAATATGTAAAGAGTGTGGGTGTGGCTCTTTTTTTGTGTTTTTAGAAAGATAAGTGTTGATGTAAAGTGGTATTACAGTACTGTACATATACGTACTGTAACTGTAGTACATTTTAATAACACTAGAAAATAAAATTACCATATTTACTTGTTTTTGGAGATGTGGTTTATTGCCTTGTCCAACCGTGTTAAGGGTCCTTATCTCCCTCTCTCATGATGCAGCACAAGGTTGTTTGGGTACTGCTAAGGTGAGAGAATCCTTACACGTACAGCAACATACAGGACACTCACACTTTTCCCTACATGTTGAGGAGTATAATATTACTACACACACACACACACTATTTATTACATGATGGGTCACTTACTGCTGTTATTAACTCACAACTATCCTAGTTTTATTAGAATATTTGTATTCTAATCAAAGTTAAAGTTGTGTGAAATATAATATGGTTCCAGTAGTGTAAAAATGGATCAATTAAAGCTTACAAAAATTCCATGTAAAAACACTGGATATGGCAGTTTCACTTAGGTCACCGTCCTTCATAAAAGTAAAGCTTTTAAAAAAGAGTGTCCCTGGTTCTGACATAGGCCTGGGAGAAGGCTTCTCTCATCTTGGGGGAAAATCGAGATTTTACATTGTCTTAGTTAAATTTGAGGTGAGTCTCAGAGCAAGGAACATTGGACTGTAGATGAGGTGAAAAATGCCTCTTGTTCCGAGACCTACCTCATATCTATATTCGGGCAACTACAAGAGAAATACAGGTACAGGTATTTTGGGAAGGCAAGAAGATTTTTCTTTGTATTTATAGACTTGGAGAAGTCATTTGATAGGGTAATATGTGAAGTAGTAAACTGGGCAGTGAGAAAGTTAGGAGAAGAGGAATACCTAGTGTGAGGAGCAACACTTTCTCAAATTCATCTGTAGTTTGTTGTTAGAGCAGAATAAGACCTGACCATGGAAAAGAAGAACTTTGCCAAAATAGTATGATTAGATCCCATGCCCACACCAGGACCGTCTGTGTGAGGTAAAGAGTCCGTCAGGCACCAGTTCATGCTGTACAGTACAGTGGGGTATGCTATAACGAACGGATCCTACTACGAATATTCCTATAACGAACGGTTTTACCTATAAAATTGAGAATGCTATAACGAACGCAACTCCTATAACGAACGCGGATGAATACGGGACTATTTCGCCTGGCGCATGAATATTGTTGTACCGCGACCCACAACAAGAGTGTCAGGCGCCATCTTTGTCTCATTGTGTAGCCAGTGCACCACTGTTATTGTTGAAATTTCGTCTTTTGATGTGGAAATTCGCATTATTTGTATAACTATTTTGTTATACAAGTATACAATTGTAACAATAAGTTGTCCAAAGCGAGTGAGAAAGCTAATAACCCTTGAAACTAAGAAAGAAATTATAAAGAAACGTGAGAATGGAAGAAGCATTGCGAAACTTAATGATGAACATGGGATGGCTAAATCGACTATTTGTACGATTTTGAAGAATAAAGAGGAGTTAAAAACTGTGCAAGTGGCTAAGGGAATCTTTAGACTTAGCAAAGCAAGGTGTAATGTGATTGAAGAGATGGAAAATTTACTCTTAGTGTGGATAAAGGAGAAAGAAATGGCAGGTGGTAACATTAGTGAAGTGAGAAGGCCAGACAATTGTTGGAGGACCTTAAAGCCAAGACTCCCAGTGGAAGTGATAGTGATGTGCCAGTGTTTAGGGGTACCTGCATGCTGAATAACACTAAGGTAAGATAAAGTACCGTATTTTTTACATTTTCCACAGAATTTTTTCAGTGTTAAGTGGTTGTATTTGGGGGTCCGGAACGGATTAATCCTATAACGAACGAATGCTATAACGAACGAGGTTCTGGAACCAATTACGTTCGTTATAGCATACCCCACTGTACTTATATATTGGAGTTAACCAAGGATTTCTGCTTGATACATAATAACTGTTGGTTTTCCTTTATGGGAAGCTTACTTGAGCCTCCCCCACCTTCTAAAAGAGGGACTTGTAGGTCTCTGAGCTGTCTCTTACTAGTGTCCCTTATAAGGGGTGAGAGCAATAGGGATGGGTCCAGTAGTAATCAAAGTATATATGATATACTGTAGTGGCTATTATTTTCAAAACTCAGTAATCACCTTTAAAACTAAGCTAGTTGGGTTATCCGGTGAAAAAAGATAAATTTGAGTATCTTCCAAACTGTGGATATGTATAAGGAACACACATACACATAATGTAGTTTATATATATTACAGTACATTATACAGGTAATGGAAATTACAAAATTTATATTTTAACAAACGGGAAATGAAAGAGTAGGGATTTGAAGTCCCAATTATTCTATAATAAACAAAACGGCGAAAATGCATATAAAAACATCCTATTTTTATTATATAAACAGCAGTGCTTTAAGGAGTGGAATTTTTTATTTCAAATTTTCTGACAAAATTTAAGTGTTGCTCCACATACATACAGTACAGTGCTATATGAGAAATGAAATTTTTATTATATTTCTTACTTTGTGAGATACACTAAGGGCTCTAATATAGAGTACCAACATAGATAACTCGGATTTAGTGTTCAATTAGTACTAATAGATTATACTAATGACAGTAAATGTGAGAAGTGTCTTGCTTCATATTGTGCGTTACTGTACATTATATCACAGGTCTCTCTCTCTCAAACCAACCTAACTAAAAGACTAGTAATTGTTAGGTCAGGTTGGAGCCATCTACACTTTCAGGTCATTTAAAGGGTGATCTAGTGAGGTTTTGTTTGTTTGGAATATCTATCGCTGGCCAACTTGCGACCAAGAGCTATTTCCTTAGTTTTGATAATTTTGTATTTACATACACTCCCAGATTCATGTCTCGGCCGTAACTTACTTAACGAACACTTGGGAATATATAAACAATGTGTTATTTTAAGAGACAGGCACATAAGTTTAAAATAGTTTTTAAGAGATGTGGGGCTCAGAACAGTCCGCGAAGTTTCTAACCCCGCTGTAAGTAAAAACTAAAACGCTATACTGTGGGGTATGGGATGTTTGGTTCACACTCAGGATGGGATGGAGAAAGGAAACTCACAATGTGCTCTCTGTATACATGTTGTATTGGATGTACAATGCAGCTTGGTGCTGGGAAGGCAGCTTGGTTACAAGCGTTGAGTAGAGAGAGCTGGTTGGTGAGGGTGCTTAGAGAAGGACAGCTTGTGGGTCGCCGGCGGGAGAGAGGACCGCCAGGCAGCGGAGGAGGAGGTGGTCTGGGTCAACCAGCGCCGCCATACATCACGGAGGTCGACTATCTACCCACGCCTACCTCCGCTATTTAAGACCTGACCTCGTGGTGATCGCTCTCTTTCTACCTACACCAACCAGTCATGTATACAGAGGGCACATGTGAGTTTCCTTTCTCCATCCCACCCTGAGTGTGAACCAAACATCCCATACCTCCACAGAATCTCCCACTCAGCGCTACCCAGGGAAAAGATTCTTCAGGTAATCTCAAATAATTCACTATTTACAGTGCCTGGTTTGATATCACAGTAGGCTATACATGTATATATCCACGGGAATTATTCTTGCCGACATGCCTCAGCACATTACGAATATCACTAGATTTTGTTTGGAAAAAATCGAGAGAAATTTTTATATTCTTGACCGTTTACTTTATCTTCCGAAACAATACTGAGCTTCATTCGTAACAGGCCAACATAATCATGACCAAGAGGCAGGTTGTTACGAGTCATGGAAGGAACAACCTGAACGTTTTTCGTATCTGTTCGAAATGTAAAGTTCCCTTACCACAGGCGATTTCTGCCGATTAATAATACATACAGGTATATATATATATATATTTGACTTGTGGGAAGTATCATTGATTTGTTATAAATGTGTATGTTGTTTGGTCCATATACTAATAAGTTATAGACTGAAAGCTAAGCCAAAGCCACAGTCGACAAACGGTGTACAGGAGGGGCGGGTGTCTTGAACTCATTGTAAATATAAGGTAGTTGAAGCTCGTCAAATGCAGTTATTTATTCCAGCACATTATTGGTGACAGGAGCCATGATACTGAAACCCTGTCCAAGAATAATAATGAGGGGAGTGATCCAGAAGCTGAATTTAATGCCGTATTTCCAGAGAACCAAACACTACACTTCACCTGAAGGGAACATGGGAGTACCTCTGGAAAACGTGAGTATTACTTAAGTTTTGTGTATTTAATTTAGGCTAATACTTGCATAACTTATATAAGTACTTTAATTCACAAGTAGCCACTAAGTGGATAACTACACCAGACGGTTATCATCCAATTATGGCTGCGGTGGTTTCAAAACTATTTCGTTATTATAGTTTAATTCTTTAGAAAATAAAACGGAATATATTTTATTCTTTGTGCAAATGAATATTAACGAATTTATAAGTTATTTACTGTATTACTCTAATCTTCCAATTTTCTTCTAAGTCTGTACTATTGTGGTCCTCTTCAGTTTCACTATTCTCTTTCTCCGTTTTCATCTATAATGAAGGGCACGTAGAGAGAGTTATCAGAGTCCCAGCTTGACAGTTTCATACGTTCACCCTGTGTCTTCACCTCTTCTTTTACTTCCTCTTTCGATTGCACTGCCTCTTTTTTTGTAGGCTGCTTCTTCATCTTATCCATAGAGATCTGTTTTTGTAGTACTTTGAAATCTGGGTAATCATAGTCATCGTCTTCGTTATCGTCATGGTCATCTTGATCGTCGTGGGTCGTGTCTATTGGAGGAGGAAGAGGTGGGGAAGATGTGCTGTCAGTTGGAGGAGGAGGAAGTGAGGTAGGTATGTGCATAGTTGGAGGATGAGGTGAGGTCGGTGTATTCAGAGTTGGAGGAGGTAAGGAAGGTAGTGGAGGGTGTATTGGGGAGTGCATTCTTGGAGGTTCATCTGCATTCTTGAAGGACACGATGCGCGATTTATCATTGTAGTATTCGTTGTTGGAGTGACATGAGGTTATACTAGGTCTGATATGTGATTGGTTGACATGAGACAACTCGTGAGATATGGCTTCAGGTCCGACAGAAACCTGCCAGTTTGCTTGATGGTTATTATTTTCTCTGTTTCTCAAGAATGATCTCTTCTTATCCATGACACAGTGGTACGCAATGCACCCGACCACTGCCGCCCACACGAGATTCAGTATTATCATCGTCAGGGAAAATCCTAGACACATCTGGGAGCTGCTGGTGTCACAGTTAGTGGAGGGGCACTCAGTTTTAGTTGTTTTCTCTGGAATATAGAGTAAATATAATAGTTGAGTAAGGTAAGAGGGATAATAAAGAAACTTAACAGACAGAAGAAAATGAAGTCTAACCTAACTTGACAAACAGAAAACAAGGGGTTGCCCATACTTGAATCTAATTAACTTACATCTAACATAACTTAAGCATTGTATGTTATGTCTTTCCAATATTTTAAAGGTTATTATGAGTGTAGAAAATTACTTTGTGTGTTACGTTGAAGGACAGAGCGCCTGAAAGACATTAATATATCGTAACAACAACGTCATTCAGAAGTAATTATTAATTTTTAAAAGTTGTTGTTAGACTAGAAAAATGCATCGTGTTAGACCTTGAGTTGTTGAGGAACGTTAGGTTAGGCTAAATTAGGTTAGGTTAGTTTAAGTTAGATTAGGGTAGGATAAATTAGTTTAGGTTAGGTTAATATATTACAACATATCCCATAACCTCACCAGGTGGCTCTGTCGATCGCATAACCTCAACTGGTGGCTCTGTCGATCGCATAACCTCAACTGGTGGCTCCGTCGTTACTGCGGCATCTGTCACTTCAACTTCGATGCCCACGGTGGTGTAGTCGCTGCGCTGCCCAGGGGGACAGCCAATGGCCCACGACATGTCTGTGTAATTGAGCACTCTCATGTCTGTAGGTGGTGACGACGTCTCAAACATAGCCAACACATCCTCATCAGTCCACAACACACTTACACAGATCGTTGACTCATTCTGGCAAACACAGGGAGGATATTTTACACTTATATTAATGTCAAGGTTTACGTAGTTTTGTTACGAAGGTTCATTTTGTGAGCAAGTGTTTTACATGACACATCCATAATGTTAGTGGTGTTAGATCGCTGGGAGAATTCTGTACACTCGACAAAGGATTTTTAAATGGATATCTTGGATTATCTGAGAGTTAACTCCCCCTCAGCTTATTTCACCCAATGATTAAACACCCTAACGCTGACTGTGGTGATTAGGTTAGGTCAACGTTAGGGTGGTTAATCTTATGGTGAAATGAGCTGGTGAGCTAATCTTTAGGTGGTCCGATATATTTAACACATCCGGCAGTTACGATATTATTATAGTTAGTGTGAGTTATGATGATGTAAACTGTGAGGAAACGTGCTTAAGACGCATGGTCCCTGTGTAGTGGCAAGGATTAGGGTGGTGGTACAGTATAGTATTACTATACTTTGATGTCACTCAGAGTCGAGTATGACGATCATCCAGCTATGATACAATGATATGAGTTATTAGGGATGTCACCTAGGTTGGTGAGTTCTGAGGTGACTAAAGAGGCCGATACGGGACCGACAGAGTTGTTCACAGATGTTGCACATGTGGAGGGCTACATCGAGAGGAGGGGGGGTGGCAACGTCTTTCTGGCGTTGGCACTTGTCTGCCTCGGTTTGCAGTCGGGCTAATTCTAAAGTATTGACACCTTCTCGTGTGGTGACCCTCCAAGCGTTACGGTGTGGAGTAATTGTCTCCCAGGTGAGGGGGTCGATTTGGCACTTTTTCAGGTTTGTCTTAAGTTATCAGTAAATTCGTTAGGTAGCTGCTGCTTTGGCAGTCTACTGTCGTCCATGCGGGTAACATGGCCAGTCCAGCGTAGTTGTTCATGGATAATGGTAGCCTCGATGCTCCTACAGTTGGTGTCAGCAACTTTACTGGCATTTGTTCTCTTGTCTTCCCAGCGAGCTCGGACGATGGAGCGTAGACCACGTTGGTGAAAGTTTTCAAGTGCCTTGAGGTGCCTCCTGTATGTGACCCATGTCTCACTGCCATATAGCAGGGCGGGGAGGACCACTGCTTGATATACCTGCAACTTTGTAGATAATTTCAGCTCCCTACAGCTGAAGACACGGTTTCGAAATCTGCCAAAGGCTTGAGATGCACATCTGATCCGATGCTGAATTTCTTCATCGATGTCCGCGGTGGTGGACAGGTGGGAGCCGAGATACCGAAAGTGGGTAACATTAGAGAGGGTAGTATACCGTTAAGCTGGATGGTGGAGGTGTGTCTGAACCCGGGGCAGGTTGAAAGAGAATCTGAGTCTTACGTACATTCACCTCAAGGCCGAAGTGAGCATATGCATCTGCGTAGGTGTTCGGGATCTCCTGTAGGTCGCGCTCAGTGTGAGCAACAAGAGTGAGGTAGTCTGCATACTGAAGTTCAGTAATGGAAGCTGCCGACACCTTTGTTCTTGCCTGGAGTCGTCTAATGTTGGAAAGACCCTTCATCCGATATTTGATGTCCACCCCGCCCGCTAAATTGGCACTGGCACGAGTAAGGAAAAGAGAGTTGGTGCCAGTACACACCCTTGTTTAACCCCCATTTGGTTGGGGAAGAACTCAGACTGGGTGCCATTGTGCAGGACACTGCCGTTCATGTCATCGTCGAGTTGCCTCAAAATGGTGATGAATTTTGGTGGGCAGCCAAAACGGCTGAGGGTCCACCAGAGGGCTTCCTTGTTGACAGAGTCGAAGGCCTTGGTTAGGTCGATGAAAGCCATCTGCAGGTAACGATGCTGTTCTCTGCACTTTTCTTGTATCTGGCGGGCAGCAAAGATCATGTCAGTGGTACCACGTGATGGTCTAAAGCCACATTGAGATTCTGGGAGGAAGTTTTCCACCTCAGGAAGAAGTCTGTTTAGGAGGACTCGGGCTATAATCTTGCCAGCTATGGAGAGCAGCGAGATTCCGGGGTAGTTGCCACAGGCTGACCGGTCTCCCTTGTTTTTATAAATACTGACGATGGAGGTGTCTTTAAGAACTTAGGGGGATTTCCTCCTTTTCCCATATATTCTCTAGGAGAGAGTGGAGACGGCTGGTAAGCAGAGGTCCTCCTGTTTTATACACCTCGGCTAGGTCAGCTCTGGATGCTAAGGGACCTGCTGGGTAGTCAGAACATCCACATCAGTGTTTTGGTTGAGCAGTGAATGGTAGTGTTCTTTCCAGCGCTGAAGGAGGCCTTCGTCGTCTTTAATTATGGAGTTACCGTTGGATGAGCGGAGGGAGGCTGTGCCACGAGTGACTGGTCCAAAAAATGTTTTGGTAGAATTGAAAAATTTGTGCATCTTGTGCTGATCTGCAAATTTTTGTGTTTCACATGCTTTATTTTTAAACCAGTCATTCTTTAGATTGCGAAGTTCCCCTCTGGGCCACAGCTTTCTTCTTGTGGAAGGTATCGGCTTTGGTCCCACTGAGGGTTATTCTGCCAGCCAGTTAAAGCAGTACGTTTATCATTGATGAGTACATTGATTGCCGGGTCATTTTCATCAAACCAGTCCTAGTGTATTCCTTCGATATGGCCGAGGGTCTGTCAGCAGGTTTTTGTCATGACAGTGTCAAGAATGTCCCATTCGGCACTGGGATTTGGTTTGTTCGTTGTTGGGTTGTTTATCAGCCCATGTTCGAGCTGCTCTCTGAAAGCATGTGCTACCGCTGGGTCCTCTAGATGCTTAGTGTTAAAACCTCTTCTAGAGGCTTGCTGCCTTCGCCGCTTCGGGCCGAAGTGAAGTTAGAGCTTGGCTCTGACGAGCTGATGATCAGTGTCGCAGGTTTTTCGTTTATCGCGGCGCGTATCATTATATAAGCATCTGCCAACACCATAGTAGTTTCAATATATCGTCAGTGTGCATTATAATAAAGATACAATAACGGCCGCCATTATAAAGGATGATTTCGTTTTATAAGATTCATCATCAAAACTAAAAAGGACAACACCTCAAAGGCAAACAACGTTATCTGGGTTTTTGTGCAAAAATGTTTAATGTTGAATACGTTGCAGGAAATGAGCTGCTTAACGGTTTTATTTCTTCATTTTGATAACAAAATAAAAATAAATAACATAACCTAGCCAAAATTACTCTAAAATCCTGACGTCCAGTAAGGGTGTAACAGGTTATGCGTCTTTTACCGCGGGTGTATAAAGAACTTCTGAACGGAACTCTACATTCCATAACTTGTACAGTATCCTACAGTATATGAAGTCATTTCGTTCTCCCCTATTCTGATCTCACTGCCTTTTTTTACTGCCCTTCTTTTATACTGGGGTGGCATTGGCTGATTTCCTGTACCTAAGCACTATTCCTTTGATCAAGAGATATCCATTACTGGGAGCCTTTAAGTGGAATGGTAATCTCGTGTTTCTCCTTCTCCCGGAGCTATTAAGATTTCAGGCTTGTATTATTTTTCTGTGTTTGTTACCTTAATTCATTTTCCGCTCCTAAGGTAAATGCGTTCTCTTAGGGTTGGGCATATTAGTCATCGACTCGCGTGTGAATGCTGGTACAAAGTAGTCATTTAAGGTATCTGTTTACTCTGTTTATCATCCACCAGAGCCAGGTTGTTTTCACCCTTTACAGAGCCAATACGCAAGCTAAAAGAAGCACATTATATAAAAGAAACATTACTTTAAGCTAAAAGAAACACTATATAAAGCTAAAAGAAATACTGCTTAAAACTGGAAGATTTTTATTTTTATTTTTATTTTATTTTATTTTTTTTTTGCGGGGATAAGCCCACCCGAGCACAGGTAATGACCCACATCAGGGCCTGGGGGGCGAAAATGTAATAAAATATAATAATTATAATAATAATAATAATAATAATAAGATCTATTATTATTACTGTATTATTTTAACAATTATTAAAATTAATAGTAAATTAATAAAAATAAAAATAAAATAATAAAAATAATAATAATAATTACCATAAATAAATACAAAAACGAAAAAATAAATCAAGAGTGAGAAACAATATATGTATGTTTTGTTGTCCAGGTAAGAGAAACAGTTGAGACTACAATTGTGTGTAAATGAGGCAGAAAGTCAGATCAGCAACCTAGGACTTGTTCACAATTTTCGTGATGCCATATGGCAGCAGGGTCTACCATTAGACAACACATTATGCTTCCAATATCTTCCCAGGCCGTAGTACCTCCCTGTTTGATAGCTGCCTACTACCTACCATAAAACATACTGTGTATATACAACACTTACGTCACTCAGCGAAACGTTCCTGGTGTGTAGGCGTAACCTCCGCCAGCCTTTCTCGAAAATACTGATGGACACGGTCTCGTTATCTGATGCTGGTTGAGGGAGGGAGAGAATTGCCGTGGCGTTGTTGACAGAAGTGCGCTTGATGTAGACGTGTTTGTCATCTTCTAGTAGTGTTAGATTTTTCACTCCATCATCATCCAGCTCGACGCAGCCTTGTCATGTAAAGAATCACCTGAAGATTAGCCCCGCCAACCTTATTTCAACTGATGGTTAAACACCCTGACACTAACTTGAGGGGGTTAAGTTAGGGTAGCGTTAGGGTGGTTAATCTTAAGGTAGAATAAGCTGGAATATAATTTTCAGGTGATCCCCAAAAGTGAAACTCTTTTAAACTCGTAGCGTCTAACTTAATGTATTTTAATTAGATTTAACCTAACTACCCAATATATACTACCTAATATATACTAGACAGGATCATATTGGATGTATTTATAGATCCCCAAATTGTAGTTTATTAAACCAAAGAAATTTTGAATCCTTAATAGACAAAGCAACAGCATTCAACCCTAGCCTCCTCCTTGTCCTAGGGAACTTCAGTTATGGCAACGGCGACTAGAGGAATGAAATTATACCAAATGACCTTAACCCTGCAAGGATTTTTTTTTTTTTTATTCTGAGACATAACTTCTTATTCCACAATGTTAAGATGTGATGTATATGTTGACAGTGAACTGAAGTTCTCGGACCATTATGAGAAGAAGGTAAACCAAGCAACAAGGACTTACATGAAGGCCGTTCACATAACGCTCTTCAAAAGTGAGGTGTTTCCCCGTTTGGAGTCTCCAGCATATCTGGGTGACTAGTATACTATTCACCAAAATATGTGTAGCAGACTCAGTTGGTTGAGAACGTCCCAATACAAAACTAACCTAAACTACCCAACATCTAACATAACCTGAAGCAATATGATCCAAACCTAACACGAAAATGGGTCCCATTTGCCTGACAGCCCATTAGGGGCAGTACAGAAGCATTACGTTGAATACTAAGACCTTCGGTACACAAAAAGGTTGTGTGTCCGGCACTGTACTTGACCGCCTTCACTTTCCTTACTGCTCGGCGGACTGGGAGTACTCTGGAAGTGTGCTAGCAAATCTTACAAGAGGCAAATGTCCTATCCATTCAACTATCGCAAAGGGCAAAAGTCCTTATCTATCCTAAGCTAATGAAACATTAATAATTTATAACCTAAAACAAAACTTAACACACCGTGCACGCTGGCAGTTGAAATCGAAGGAAATATCACCCGCTATGACAATAACGACAGTGAGGTTGGAGTCGTAATCGGTGGACTCACGACGTGTTGCCACCACCCATTATTTTCCAGTATGATAAGTAGGACATCATTTTTCACTGCATTCAAAGACTTTTCTCCCGTGGGAGTAATGTTGATGCCTCAGATGTGTTTATCGGTGGTGACATTTAATGGGTGAGGCCCGAGAGCTCTGGTGACGACAGTTGTCTAAGCGGATATCCTGAGAACAAACTCTCTGGTCGTCAGCTATGTTAACTCCTTCACCCACTGTTCTTACCCCATTGCAGTGTACACTTACAGCCTATCAGGAAAAAAAAAGATCATTAACCTACAGTATATAAAGCCAAAGTCCATTAACTTATATGAAGACAACCTTTTTAACCTACGGGATGATGATTTCTTTAACCCACGCGAAGACAGTGATCACTTTGGGCCAAGACAACCTGCCTAATTTCATGGGGAACACAGTAACAATAAACTAACCTGAGAGGAACTACATGCAACTTGTCGTGGGATGATCCAGTTAGCTGAAACCATGATGATAACGACTGGATGACATTTTAATTGAAGAGAGGATGTGGCGTAACATAATGCAACTCTCTCTCTCTCTCATCACCATTACGATACCACATTAATGACAACCACTACAACAACCATTACCACCACAACAACCATTACCACCACAACAACCATTACCACTACAACAACCATTACCACCACAACAACCATTACCACTACAACAACCATTACCACCACAACAACCATTACCACCACAACAACCATTACCACCACATCAACCATTGGCCACCACAACAACCACACACCACCACAACAACCATTACCACCACAACAACCATTACCATCACAACAACCATTACCACCACAACAACCATTAATAATAACAACCATTACCACCAGCACAACAACCATACCACAACAACCATTACCACCACATCAACCATTACCACCACAACAACCTACCACCACAACAACCACACCACCACAAATAACCATTACCACAACAACCATTACCAACAACCATTACCAGCACAACAACCATTACCAGCACAACAACCATTACCACAACAACCATTACCACCACATCAACCAATCTCCACCACAACAACCATTACCACCACATCAATCCATTACCACCACAACAACCACACAACAAATCCATTACTCACCACAACAACCATTACCCACAACAGCCATTATCACCACAACAACCATTACCACAACAACCATTACCACCACAACAACCATTACCACAACAACCATTACCACAACAACAACCATTACCACAACAACCATTACCACCACAACAACCATTACCACCACAACAACCATTACCACAACAACCATTACCACCACAACAACCATTACCACCACAACAACCATTACCACAACAACCATTACCACAACAACCATTACCATCATATCAACCATTGCCACCACATCAACCATTATCAGCACAACAACCATTACCACAACAACCATTACCACCATCAACCATTACCACCACAACAACCATTACCACAACAACCATTACCACCACAACAACCATTGCCACCACAACAACCATTACCACAACAACCATTACCACCACAATAACCATTACCACCACAACAACCATTACCACCACAACAACCTTACCACCACAACAACCATTACCACCACAACAACCATTACCACAACCAACCATTACCACCACAACCATTACCACCATCAACCATTACCCACAACACCATTACCACCACAACAACCATTACCACCACAACAACCATTGCCACAACAAAAATTACCACCACAACAAATTACCACCACAACCACATTACCACCACAACCATTACCACCACAACAACCATTACCACAACAATTACCACAACAATAAATACCACAACATCAACCATTACCACCACAACAACCATTACCACAACAACCATTACCACCACATCAACCATTGCCACCACAACAACTACCAGCACAACAACCATTACCACCACATCAACCATTACCACCACAACAACCATTACCACATCAACCATTACCACCACATCAACCATTACCACCACAACAACCATTACCACCATATCAACCATTACCACCAAAACAACCATTACCACCACAACAACCATTACCACCACAACAACCATTACCGCAACAACCATTACCAGCACAAACAACCATTAACAACAACCATTACCACCACATCAACCATTACCACCACAACAACCATTACCAACACAACAACCATTACCACCACATCAACCATTATACCACCACAACAACCATTACCACAACAACCATTACCACCACAACAACATTACCACAACAACCATTACCACAACAACCATTACCACAACAACCATTATCACCACAACAACCATTACCACAACAACCATTACCACAACAACCATTACCACCACAACAACCATTACCACAACAACCATTACCACAACAACAACCATTACCACAACAACCATTACCACCACAACAGCCATTATCACCACAACAACCATTACCACAACAACCATTACCACCACAACAACCATTACCACAACAACCATTACCACAACAACAACCATTACCACAACAACCATTACCACCACAACAACCATTACCACCACAACAACCATTACCACAACAACCATTACCACCACAACAACCATTACCACCACAACAACCATTACCACAACAACCATTACCACCCTCTGGTATTAAATAAAGATGTCTTGTTGCTGTAGATTCTTGTTAATACTACAGAAGAGGACAAGTCAATTTAATAGAGAAACATAAACCTCTAAAGACATTACCGAATGGCCGCTCCACTACACGTCCACAGCTTCAAGTAAAGAAAAACATAAGGTACAGAATACTCTCAGAGTTGGTTCCTTTGGCGTGAGAGTCGTGAACTGTTGTAATAATCTGCCAGAGAGTGTTATGAAAGCACTATAGGTGTGAGGCCCTTTTACACCACGCTTGATCAACACTCACATATACTCAGGTGTACATTCAAGAGTCCGTGTATGTCCAGTACTCGCCAACAGTGTGTAACAGAACTGAGCGGCTACTAAAGTGTAAGTGGTGAAGAAGATGACTAAGTTTCATATTTCAGATTTAGTTTCTGAAGACATCTGCTGCCACTGTATCGAAATCCCACTTCAGTTGCTGCTATGTAGATTCAGATGTTTTAGTTAATTTTTTACTTTTATCCTCTTCACTGATCGGCTTGTTAGCCGCTTGGGCGATCGGTCACGTTTCTGTTACGCACTGTTGGCAAGGACTGGGCATGCACCGGCTCCTGAATGTACCTGAACCTGCTCCAGTGTTGGTCAAATCTGGTCTTGAAAGAGCTTACACTCGGTGCCGTCGCAACACTTTCTGGTAGATTGTTCCAAGCGTTCACAACTCTCACTCCGAAAAAGTTTGCCCTCACAGTTTTCTTGACCTGTGGCTTCTTCAATCTTGAGCTGTGACCCCGTGTGGGGCGAGCGTCCGCCAGCTCAAGCTTACTGAATCGAATTCCTTTACTTAACATTCAGAAACTTTTGTCAGGTAAAAGAAAAGCAACTAACCTTCATATGTCTCTTGATTCTCTGTAGTACAACGAGGTGCCAGTATTAGAATAAGCAGTAGTGAAACAGACTGAACCGCCCACCGCCCGGACGTTCCACTTTGCCGCCCATACATTGTCCCTGGTTCACCCTTGGCTCCTCACCTGGCTGTAGGAACACTCCCAAACCCTTGAGGATAAAAGAGCCGCCCCTGGAGACGACTACGCCAGGACGCTGCGTAATATACACTGAGCTCAAGATGCCACCACCATGATATCCGCTCAATGCTTTTGGTTGCGTATTGTGGCAGGATGGTGGGAGACTCTGCCAGGGCGTTGTAGGTGACATGATAATGATACCACAGCCGGGAACTACAGACTTCAGATCCACTTAGTGACAAATTTCGTTTAATTAGACAAGAATAAGGCAGTTAGCGGTGACGGATCAGGCGGGATACCCATTATGCAAGCTTGTCATATATGTGTACTTACTATATTTTATTGCTGTCACACACGCACACACACACCACCTGCATGATGTCTTAGATATGTTCTGTAAATATCGTCACAAACCAAATTTATTAACATCACAACTCAGATTAATATTGGAAGTATCGGTTATCACAGCTTCCTACATTATCTCTTAACATTTAACTAGATATGAGGCAAAGCACTTTACTATAGTCGAGATTTGGGACACAACCTGGCGCCATTTTGGTCGTTTTCACAGCTCTGACACAAGGAGGAATGAACCTTAACAACCTTTGGAAATTCGGTTCTTGATAAGTAGTCCAGGAGAAAATAACAAATAAATTACGTAAGGAAAGAAAATGTAAGTATATGAGAGTACTAAAATCATGGTGTAGGATCCCTAACCTTGTACCTGCGCAGTCTATATACATCGTTTGCTTCACACAGTAGTAGACATACTGTACACTCACCCAAAACTTCTCGAGCGCTACAAGCACTGTGCGATCTGAAAAATGAACGAAGAATCTGAAACCATTCCGAGATGTTTTTGGTTGCAGTATATTGTACCTGATTAGTTACTTATACAGGTGGGATAATAACCGTGAGGTGTGACGGATTAGTGTTGTGGCATCGTCTTGTACTGTACTGTTTGACAATAAAGTACTGTACTCGCTCACGTTAGCTTCCTTTATCTCCGTCCCTCACTCCGACACCGGATATTACTGAGTGTTGTGTCAACACGTCTACTTCCTGTTCCCTCCAGGAAACAGCAGTACTTAAAGAACGAGAACACGTCTACCGTAGTGCAACAATCAGACATTTTTTAAGTATTATTTGTCACTCATTGTGTAGCTTTCATTTGATCATTATTGAAACTGGTAATGTCATAACTCACTACCACCCCGAGGGAGGAGGAGGAGGTTGGTTAGCCAGATACAACAATAGTTGGGATAAACGGTTACCTCATATTTTATATTTATAATAAAAAATCATTATTATTGAATTAAATATGAATTCACAGTTTTATATTATCAGACCTAAAATTTATGCCTGAACATCCGCATCCACGCGATTATCTGAAACCTGACGTCCGAGATATATACACTGATAAAGGTGTTTCAAGAACTTCCCTGCCACTAAAAAGGTCTTAACAAGGACTTATATGATCTTAACAATCAATTTATATTGACAGACAGAGAACAACACTACTGTAGGACCAAAGCTACACACTGTAATGCAATAAAGTCTTATATACCAAGAGGAGTTAGTGGTATGAAGCGAGGAGTAGGATGACACCAGGAGGTAACACTCGGGTCGTGGCACGCCCTTGAGCCCGGGACGTCGACGAGGTGGTGCTGGAGTCTTTGGTGTCTTGAGAGGAAGACAAGGATATCAGGTGGGCAGCGCTGGAGGAGGGAGACGCCGGGGATGCAGTGGTGGAGACTTTTTGAATTGAATTGAATTGAAACAGTTTATTTAGCCAGAAAAACACAGATACAGAGTGGATAATAATAACAATATTAACATGGCTGAGCCAGTTGAGAACCTGAACTCTCCTGTAGGCACCTGATATATACTATACATTTATCTCAAGGAAGTATTATGTAACATTTAGTATCATCTGGAATAGTACAATAGCATGGTGGTAATAACAACATCTCATAATGTTACCATGGTTATCACTTCAATAGCTATTAATTTTATTATTTATTTATGTTATTATTATTATTTTGTTTATTTATTTATTTATACATACATATACACATACATATATACACACACACACACACACACACACACATATATATATATATATATATATATATATATATATATATATATATATATATATATATATATATATATATATATATATATATATATATATATATATATATACATACATACATACACACACATACATACACATACACATATACATATAAATTAGAGTGGAATTTAAAAACATAAGTATAATGGGGGAGCAGTACAACCTGGGTTGTGCAGTAATAAGGTTGAACAAGAGGACAGAGCTTTCAGGATTATGTCTAGTTGGCAATTATGTGTATTGCAATGGTAATTACTTATTTATTTACATGATAATTTCCGATAAAACGGATTTGGTGGTACAATAAAAGCAGGTACTGTAAATATAGTAAGTGTTACAAGAAATATTAATACTTCGACAATAGATATTTTTTTAGAGATGATTTAAAGGAAGGGAGCGTAGTCTTTGCTCGGATGGGTGGGGGTAAGTTGTTCCATACCTTCACACCATGATATTTTATGGAGGTCTGGGACTGAGAGGAGCGCATGGGGGGTGGTCTTAGTAGCTCTGGGTGCCTTAAGTTGTATCTCTGATTATTCCGGAACTGGAAGTAATTATTGTCAAGCAAGTGATTGATAGATTTGTAAACAAAGAGGGCACAGCAGTAAGTGTTAATATCCTCGAATTTTAAAAATTTCAATATAGCAAATTTTTCGTTTGTGTGATCTGTTTTTTTCAAGTAGGTCATTGTCCGTACAACTCTCTTTTGTGCAGTAACCAGAGATTGTGTTTTTGAAGAGCCAGAGGCCCCCCATAGTGTGTGACAGTGTATCAGGTGTTGGTAAACAAGATCATGATAGATTTCTTTCATTGCTGTGAGAGTGAGTGACTGTCGAGTGTGATACATGATACCGCACTGTTTATTGATTTTACTGTGAATGGCTTGTATGTGGTTTCTCCAGTTAAGCTTCTCATCAACAATAACTCCGAGGATTAGTATTTTGTTCGCGTTTGAGGACTGTATTACCAAGGTACAGGGGGTTCAAGTCTGGAGGTAAGTTTTTTTCTGTGAAAGATCGTGTAGAGGGTTTTCTCAAGGTTTAAGGTAAGTTTATTACGTATTACCCAGGTCCCGACTTTAGTTAATTCAGTGTTCATAGTTCTCATCAAGGAATGGAGGTCTGAGTTGCTGGTATAGAGATTACTATCGTCTGCAAATAAGTTGTATTTTATGAGTGAGCTGGCGTGGACTATGTCGTTTATGTACAACAAAAGCAGTACTGGACCGAGAATTGAACCTTGGGGGACTCCATACAAGATTGGCGAGGAGTCAGATTGATGATTATTATAGCAGACATACTGCATCCTGTTGGACAGATATGAGGTAAACCAATTGTGGGACAGGCCCCTAACGCCGTAATGTTCAAGCTTTGAAAGGAGGATGGTATGGTCGACAGTATCGAAGGCTTTAGAGAGGTCCAAGACTATACCGACTGTGAACTGGCTGTCATCAAAGGAATTTAAGATGTCATTAGTAAAGGATAGCAGAGCACTCTCAGTCGACCTTCTAGTTCTAAATCCAAACTGGGAGTCTGTAAGGATGTTATTGGCACTGCAGAAGGAATTTAGTCTATTACATGCTAGCTTTTCCAGTATCTTACTCAAGGCTGGGAGGATTGATATGGGGCGGTAATTCTTGGGGAGACCTTTATCCCCAGATTTTTTATATGCCGGGTGGACTTTAGCAATTTTCAGTTTATCAGGAAAGACACCACTAGTGAAGGAGGAGTTACAAATGTGGAGGAGAACAGGTAGTAATAAGTGGGCCACTTTCTTAATGTTGCTCATTGGTATATTGTCTTCGCCTGCTGCTGCATCTTTGGACATTTTTATGATGGCCAGTAATTCATCTGCTGTGACAGGGGATAAGAACAGTTCATTTTGCTGTCTGTTTTGCAGGTAGGCTCTAAATTCCTCTTGGTGATCAGGGATGCTCTCTGCAAGATTTTTGCCAACATTAATAAAATATTCATTGAAGTGGTTGGCAATGAGGGAGGGTTCCGTTATAACTGAATCGTTTATCATAAAAGCTAAGTGGGGGGCCGAAGGCTGAGTGTTCCTGTTCTGAATAGAATTTATGACATTCCAGGTTTTCTTACTGTCGCCTGATGCTGACTGGAGCTTATTTGTATAATAGTTACGTCTGGCATTTCTAACTGCTTGTGTTACTCTATTTCTGATACTTCGGTAAGCATCACCGAAAGTTATGGGTCTTTTTGCAAATTTCCTTTGGAGTTTGTGTTTTTCCTTTATCATTATCTTAATTTCGCTTGTGATATAGAGTTTGGAAATGGATACAGTTTTCACTGACTTAGTCTTGAGCGGGAAGCATTTATCAAAGCAAGCACTGAAGATGCAAGAGAAGTTACTGCTGTTCACGTTAGGGTTGTTGGAGGCGTAGACAAGATCCCAGTTAGCATTTCGGTGACTCCAGCGTAGTAGGTAGTAGGCAGCTATCAAACAGGGAGGTACTACCGCCTGGGAAGATATTGGAAACATAATGTATCGTCTAATCGTCTCTAATGGTAGACCCTGCTGCCATATGTGACCAAGTCCCAGGTTGATGATCTGACTTTCTGCCTCATTTACACACAATTACCGGGTCTCAATTGTATTGTTTCTTACTATTGTTTTTTTTTTAAATTTTTGTATGTCTGTATGGTTCTTTATTATTATTACTACAGTGTTATTATTATTATTATTATTATTATTATTATTATTATTATTATTATTTTTATTATTATTATTATTATTATTATTATTATTATTATTATTATTATTATTACATTTTCGCCCCCCAGGCCCTGATGTGGGTCAGTGACCTGTGCCCGGGTGGGCTAATCCCCCCACCAAAAAAAAATAGTTGATCTGTGGAGGCCAGCAGGGAGGGTGGGGTGTTACCGTACCTACTGGTGAGTTGTCCCTTAAGATACTTTTAAATAACCAA